AGAATTATAGAGATTAAATAAAAGAAATGAATAAAGAGAAAATAATAAAACACACAAACGAACATCAATGATGATATAGGAACTAAATGCTTTGTTTTACGGCATATCATACCTCTATGGGTTATTTAATATCGGCAAGATTTTTATTTCTGGTTTAGTCTGGCTTGTTTTGTTTTACGGCATATCAACCTCTATGGGTTATTTAATGCCGACAAGATTTTTATTGCTGGTAATATTTTTTTTCTTCAAAATTTCATTGCTTTTACAAAAATGTATTTCTGGTATTAAAACTTATTTTTACATTTTCATAACTGGGACCCTAACAAGTGCTACCACCCCAGCAATTAAGAGGTGGTTCCTCTAAACCACCTGATCAGAGGCCTTGCTTTTGGATGCTGTTTATCGTCTTACCCAGAGAGGAAATATGCGGAAAGTAAGGTTCTTCGGCGTTTTGAAGATAAAGTTTGTTGCTTTCATTGGCCAAGTTCCCGGGAAACATACATATTTTTTTTTTTTTTTTTTTACAGAATGTCTCACACATTCTTTTTTTTGTAATATTTAAACTATTTGCGTTTTGAAAATTATTTATTTTATTGGGACTATTGTCCTCATCTTTGACACCATATTTATTACAACGTTTTGGTCGTTGTACGCTCCGGCCTTCTTCAGGTGGTTGGAATGTCGAACTGAACCCTTTATTTCTGACTGCTCTAGTTCCACGTGCCATGTTTAATTGATGTCAGTTATCAGTTATCTCCTGTTAATTCCCCTCTTTCTTCACTGCCTTAACCGGTTATTGAACTCACACTTTTTGGGTCCTGTCATTGGATCTAATCAACACCTTTATCCACTGTGCCATGTGTCCTTGTGTCTGTGTATGAATTTCTGGGTATTATAAACCTAATGTCTTCAGCAACCATTTTTACCAGTGTTCATATTGCAATTTGTTGCCGTTATCATTGTATGTTTTACCAGAGCTCATATTGCAAATTTTTTTGTTATCGCTTTTCTCTGGCACTCCTTATTACTGGTTCCCATATTGTATTCATTTCTATGCTTCGTCGGCTCAGGAGATTTTTGTGGCCTAGCATATGTGCTGATTCCTTAAGTTTACGAATTTTTCAATGGTGTTCCTTGTCTATAATCTCAACCTGATCTCACAGAGAGCGGTGATCTCCCTTCTCTCTCCATATGTGGTCAGCCACGCCTGATTTTTCCACTTCCCCTCGTGTTACAGCTTTCTGTGAGCGAAATAAAGGGTTAAGTTCGACATTCCAACCATCTGAAGAAGGCCGGAGCGTATAATGGCCGAAACGTTCTAATAAATATGGCGACAAAGATGAGTAGTCCAAATAATATAAAGAATTTACATATCTCATCTCAGAAATATTGAGACAGATATTGAGTTTTGAAGTTAATACAGTTTGGCAAATTATAAATTGAAATGTTCCAAAGCATTTAATTGTAGATGTATTCATTTATACATGCGTAAATTAGGCTGAGAATTCAGAAAAGAAACAATTTTTTAATCGATGTTACTTAATGGGCATACGAAAGAGTTCAAGTAATTTATGAGATTTTCTTATTTATACGCCACTCTTGAGCCATTCTTTCTGACATTCCAAGTTATGATGACACTATAAAATGGTTGACATGAGATTAAAGATTAAATATTTAATCAGTTAGTCTTGTACAAGATTAGTTTATTATAGTTCTCAAGATTGAATTTATTAATAATGACTTTAAGTCGAGTTAACCATCACATTTTGGGATTCGATTAAGGTTTTACTTAGCTTGTATACATATAAACTGTGTGTGTGTGTGTGTGTGTGTGTGTTGTGGGGGTCATCCGTCGTCCTTTAGAAACTAAGGATCTTCGCCTAAAGTGTTATGCCTTAGCAGCTGATGGCGGTGCAGAGCATCTGAGACGGTGAGAGTCTCGATTGCAATGAGTGCATGCGAAAACGCTCTCCCTCGATTTCGCCTTGCTTTCTTTCCACCGAGCACGCTTCTCCCCGCTTCTCCTCTCCTTTCCACGCCCTAGACCCTCAGTATAAATTGCCTCTTCAGTGTAAGCAAGGGTTGGCGACGTCTTCCCATCTCTCGATGTCCATCGCCTTCCTGTTCCTTTTGCAGACGTCCTTGAAAAGAACATGAGGTCCCACTTGTGTCGGTGGTCAGTTCCCAGTACAAAAGTGTATAAATAAATAAATAATGGCTGGCTACGCGTTCCTAAACACATCCGCCTGCTAAGAAAACTTGCGAAACCGTCACAAACGCTAGTTCATTCAGGCACATTTATGACCGTACAACACCCAATGGTCCCACCTGTAGTTCATACTGAGCGGATCTTAGTTGTGGGAGAACATAAGTTTGAATAAGAATCAGTACGCTCAAAACCTCGGTTACGATGACTTGTAACTTTGTGTTAACACGACCATGATTCCGATCAGTTTTGTCTAGAACAGGATCAACTTGTTGTAAAGATTTCAGTCACTTTCCAATGACGTCGCACGTTTGGATTGCCTTTCCAGTGTGATAACATCAAAAAGTCATCACCACTGACAAATCGACCGAATAATGAGGTTCAAACTATCTTTGGAAAACAAACGTTCTAACCAATCGGCCACGTGTATACACACAGGCATTTACAGATAAGTAATATTTACCACTAAAACTGGAGAAATAAGTGGTCTTTTCAAACTGTGGTGTTTACTTGCTTGATTTTCCTGTCCGTACCTTTTCTCTGTTTACATTCTTCGCACCAGATTCTTCGAGTATTGTCTAGCTGATCAATTCACATTTTTTTTTTGCTTATTACTCTTAATTTTTTCTCAAATCTCTTTTTGCGATATTTCTAAAGTCAATTCTTTCTTATTCTTATCTTGCCAAGGTTTTCAATTTCTTTTTCCTCTGTGATCTCTGTCCAATTTTTTTCGATTTCTAACTTTGTTTTTCTCATCATTCAATAACTTTACGATATTTGTTTCGCTTTTGAAGTTATATCTTTCTAATGACCCATAGCAATCTTTAACAAATAAATAGCATTTTATATATGAAATTCAAAGATACGTATTTATTTATAATAAACACCCGAGTTGGACAACAAAACCTCACGCCATCAAATAAACACAAATAGACTGAATTTCAGCTTATAAATATAACTGAAAATTTTTTAAATGTCTGTATTATTTGGTGAAAAAATTGACTTTTTTTGTCAGTCATCTGCATGACTGATGCTAACCTCTAGGAATGCAATTCATTGCACCGCCTTGAAGTGGAGTGATGATATTGAATCAGTTGCTAGGTTTGCTGCTAAGAAGATTGATTCAATGTGTTGTGCTAGACAATTTTTTTCTCCTCAGAATCCATCTTGCACATTTATAAATCTACCATTCGTCCATGCATTGAATATTACTGCCGTATCTGGTCAAGTGCTCCGCTTATATACCTCGAGATTCTCACCAAAACTCAAAGAAGGATTCTTTAATGCTATCAATCCTGCCATGGCACCTCGACTTCAGACAGTTTCCCACCATTGTCTTTATATATATATATATATATATATATATATATATAAGTGAATATAGACGTCAACACAGTCTGTTTCATGCTAGATGCAATCGTCAGGCCATATATAAGATAATCCTAAGGACCCAGGCAAACCTATCTAGGTTTCACGTAAACGGATCTTCAGGGTAATACTGGCTCCAGCATTACCCTGAAGATCCGGTTAGATGATACCTAGGTAGGTTTGCCTGGCTCCTTAGGATTATCTTAGGTTTTGCTCTATTTAGTGTATTAAGCATGTTTCTTTGGACTTGGAGCTTGAACACTGGACGTTTGTTTTCGCCTTGTTTTAATGTTCTTGGGTCTTTTTTTTCATTCCCCATGCAAGTTGAGCTATCCGAGGTTTTTCCAAACGCGTACCACCATATATATATATATATATATATACCCGCTGCCCCACACAGCAAGATGTGACACAAGGCTGAGTTTAAAGTGGGGTATCCGAGCCCGTAGGCTTGGGCAAAAATTCCCTATAGACCACGTAAAAACGGAGTCAGTTTCCCGAGACGAGACTGCCCTTCGGCAGAGCCTCTTCTGGGGGATACCTTCTGACATAAGCCAGTTAAGTCGTGACATTTCTATTGAGCCCTCCTTCTTGGTACCTCGACCATGTGAATTTGAGCGTACTACTAGACTGTGAGGGAGGTACGGTGGAGTAATGGATAGCGGCTTGGAAGCCGAGTTCGAATTCCAGTCGAATCCCTTACATTCACTTACGTAGGGAAAAGTGTGAATCATCGTCTTCTACCTCCCAGCTATGGGTAAATAGAGCGGGTTCTATAGCCTTGGATGGCAACTGGTCTACCTCAGAAAGAAATGTATCGAAAGATATATGATCGCCTAAGTGTGTATCACGCATGGCACATAACTGATTAGACTGGCAATTAGGTTTAAACATTTTTGCTGCTGAACCGCAAGTTCTATTCCAATAGTTTCTTTTCCCACCCTTCTCTCCCTCTGGTACTCTCTATTTTGGTTTCTTGCTTCCATACCCCCCATAATTTTCAAAAACATAAATGCAACGTCAGTCGTCATCTTTTGTCTTCCTGGATGTTGTTCTTTTTATTGGCCTTTCTCCTCACGAAAAACTTATCTTTCACTCACATTAATACCATGTGTCTTAGTGGAATTAATGCCTTGCTTGGTATGAAATGATTAAAAAAGAAATCTGGCGTAGTGTACATAGATCAAGCAACGTGATTATGTTGTTTACTCTCATTCGGCGACACATTACACTGACATGTGTCTCATCATGACTTTCTTTGGTTAAACCAAGCTGCTGAATCTATTACAACAGTCTATGAGACTGACTCGCTAATGATCACACTACAGTATGCACTCTTCATAAACATTATCTTATTCAGAGAGAGACAAAAATGAATTCTCTATGTCTATTGCTGTGCCTAAATGCGAATAGATATGTATTGACACTAGTCAGGGTATAGAGTACCTGTAGAAGAAGAAATAGAGAGGGAAAGAGGAAATGAAAGAGAGGGAAAATGAAAGAGAGAGAGGGAAAATGAAAGAGAGAGAGGGAAAATGAAAGAGAGAGAGGGAAAATGAAAGAGAGAGAGGGAAAATGAAAGAGAGAGAGGGAAAAGAAAGTAACATAATTTAGACAGAATGCATGTCTCTTTAAATGTCTGTTGTAGTATTTGTTTCTTCAAAGTGTCTCTAGAGAAAACTTTCAAATGTTCTTCCTTTTCTCCTTGTCAATGAAAAGAAACCAAAAGGCAATGTAATTTTACGAAAAGAAAAGAAAAAAAGGTTTTCCATCTTGTTAATGAGGAGAATTAAAACGTAAAAACAATTCCCATGGACACAACGAACAGAATCAATTTATTTCATATGAATGAAATAGTCCCCGCCAATTCCCTCAGACGATTTTGTGCTTTTATACGTGTGTGATTGCGTGTTCATTTACACAATTGTGTGTGAGTGTGAGTACATTTGAATAATGTTAGTGTATGTAGTTTACTAAGCGTGCACCAATAAATATGTGTATGCTTAATTGATATTCACTTATTTACATGTTTGTTGAGTGCAATGGTTTGCAGCCACATTGAAGAATCCATTGTTAAAATTATTCCGTTTATTTGGAAATTACACCACAAACGTAGGCTTATCTGATCAATTTATCTCTAATTAAAAATCAAGATGATTGATTTCCTTGCGAATATTCAAAGTAAGAATCGATTTGCAAAAAGAAAAAAAAAAGAAATAAAGAAAAAAGAAAATAAAAACTTTAAGATGTTTTTCTTGCTTGATTTCTTTCTAATATTGATTAGGATTTCAGAAAATTGGCTTATCGCTTTGTTTTTATGACTTAACTAATACAGCAGTAATAATGTTTGAAACGGCACCCTAAATAGAATTTACTGTTAATATTCTAATTCCTTCTGCTCTCTTGTTGATTTCATCTGGATTTCATTTCTTCCATTTGCTTTCAAGGGAGATAATCAATTGCCGAAGAGAAGAACAAATGCTTAAAAAAATTTGGTTTCTCATGCTCACATCATAAAAAACAAGCTTAGCACACACGCTCGCATGCAAAGCCCCACACACCAGGAATGCCGAAATGTATTTCCCCAAATCTAACCCAGACATCAGAATTTAATTTTTAAATCCCTTGTTGGCTGTGCCGAGATCTAGTCAACACAAATCCTGCTAGTTGAAATACCTGTGGGTCTACCCCAGCTGTCTGTCAAATAAATTGTAACAACCTCGAAATGGCATTGCCAAAAGCGGTATATAAAAATAGATCGCAGAAGATCTCTTCCTCTCTTTTAGCCACAGGATGCCTTAGAAATAGGACATGTCACGTTCTCGGTTAGGGGACTTTTCAGTCCCCATCGCATTGGACGTAATAGTACGCGGCGTACAACGTAGTAAGTTTACTCGACTACACACAGACATAGCTAATAAATTTCGCAAAACAAAGAACTTTTCTCAAATAGGTATCAGTTTTTCATATGGACTTTGCACACACGTACGAAGAATATCGTGTACAAACTTCATGCACCCGTTTCTATATAGTTTTCTTTGGCACTAATAATCGTAACATTAGTTTATGTTGAGTAAGAGGTGAAAACGTACATCATACGCAAATTGTTATAATAACACAGAACACATTCTTAATGTTATAATGGTGAGTAGCTAAGACTACATTAGAGTCAGGTTAAGCGAAACCACAGCATACATAGTCTGAAAATGTCATATAACTTCTAATACCAAGGAGAAATGTTTCAGAAAAAAATCTCTATTTTACTGTATTATACGCGTTGTCAACGTTCATTTTCAGCGACACCAGTCATAACAATTAGTAGCATAAAAAAAAGGAAATAAAGTTACTTTTCTTTCTTTCTTGGTACATGTAGAAAATATATTTTAGGGAAAAATTCTGTGAAAATTGCTTTTTCAAAGCTCATTTTTCTCGTCAGGGGATTAATAATAAAAGTGAAATTAGTGTCTTACACTGACAGTTTCAAAATAGCATTTCTTACCAGAAAAGGTGTTTCTACATATCAGAAAAATGGTTCTTCTTATCGAATCGCTACACAACACTCATCCAGTGTTGCACACAGAGCCTTGTCTGGGTTTTAAGTTTTCAAGATTGTTAAGCATGCATGGACCTTCAAGATTGAGGCAAACTAGATGTTTCATTGTTTGTGACTGCCCGCATT